GAGAAAAGGATGGAAGGATCCTGTTCATATGGACCTGTCGTCAGACAGAACACTACAAATAAAAAAATAACTTGTCTGACAAAACCGCACATTTCATAATTGGGCGATCTGTGCTGTGAACATTTTGAAAAGAAAAAAAAACGAAAAATTTCCGAAGAGTGACGAGAATTTGGTTAATTTAATTGTTTTCAAAATGCCGATCACTTGGTACAGCGGCCTATGGCGTGGTTAATGACCGCTCTGACACTGGGTTCATGAGTTCGAGTCTGGTCCGCGCCATCTTGTCGTTGTGTCCGGCTGATCACGTGTCCAAAGTTTCTCAACGGATTCAAAAATTCAGAACAATTCGTTGATTGCAACAGTTCGTGAGGCCCGATTACTGAAACTGATTTCAGAGCTTCGGGTGATGAACAGACACTTTAATTACTAGGCGAATTGTCCACAGATCTACAAATGACGGTTCGACCATGAATCACGTGACTTTAAATGTTCCCCTTTGCTATTAATCACAGGAGCTGGTGTAGAAAAGTGGTTTTTTTTTTTTCATTCTGATAATACGTAATTCGCTTAACATTTTCGAAATGTGAAATTCGGAAGGCGACTTAATTTTGTATCGATCATTAGACAAACTTTGGTCGAATCTTGTTCATTGATATTTTCTGTCCGTCTTCTAACTTGAGATGTACCTTATCAGGTAGAAACAGGTTGCAGGCTCTCCGGGTCAGTGAGTCCATAGGCGTTGCCCTGCTGTGCGTAGCGGGATTTTGGTTCCGTAAAAGGTGCGAAGGACGTGCCAGCCTCGAATTACACCACGTCGTTATTCAGGCGCATTGTTTACAAGTGACGTTAATTAATACGGTCTTTGCAAGCCGAGCGACGACTATTCGCTTTTACGTTAATGTAATTTCGCAATCTTTACGAGAGAAAGTTTGCTGCTGCCGTTAACATATTAAGGAGGTTTAATATAAAATCGGGGCCTCAAAATTCCAGCTTGGCCCGTGTTCAAAACGTAATCGAAAAGTCCGTGACGATGTGTGGCTTTTTGACAAACAGGTCTTAAGAGGGAAAGAAAGGAAAAACAACCTATGTCAAAGAATTTCTTATAATTAATCCTCCTCCTCCTCCTCCTCCTCCTCCTCCTCCTCCTCCTCCTCCTCCTCCTCCTCCTCCTCCTCCTCCTCCTCCTCCTCCTCCTCCTCCTCCTCCTCCTCCTCCTCCTCCTCCTCCTCCTCCTCCTCCTCCTCCTCCGCCTCCTCCTCCTCCTTCTCCTCCTCCTTCTCCTTCGTCTCCTCCTCCTCCTCCTTCGTCTCCTCCTCCTCCTCCTTCGTCTCCTCCTCCTCCTCCTTCGTCTCCTCCTCCTCCTTCGTCTCCTCCTCCTCCTTCTCCTCCATCTTCTTCTTCGTCTCCTCCTCCTCCTTCTCCTCCTCCTCCCCCCCCTCCT